CCCTCCAAATTTACTACAAATAACGACACGTTCGTTTGAAGAAATGGATCTAGATGTAGGAAACTACTTTTCATTAATCATGTTCGCAGTTCGACTTTACCGACTTTGTGTTCATCTATTTTAACCGCAGATTTCTCCTGCTATATCAAACATTGGTTCCACGTAACCCGCGGGGGAAACAAGGTCTATATTGCAAGTTTACTTAATCGACACCTTCATGGTTGGAGGACAGATCCAGACTACCCACGGGTACTACCGCTATAGTGCTTTTTGTCCTTCCACTCATAGCAGCAGTGCAAACCGAGTTACCGTTTCATAAAAGTTCCTTGAAGGACATAGTGGAAAACTATGCTTCAAAAGCCTATGCATGGCCTGTGAACAGACGTAAGTTGAAGTGGGGATTAAAAATGTAACATCAAGTTCTCGAAATAGAATCTCAGATTAAATAAGTAAAACACATGTTATACAACCGAGAGCCAGCAGGTTGTGTGTTTTGCTTTAAGAAGGACGTCAAAACATTAAAAATAGCGACTGTTTACCTAGCCCTAATTAGACGCTATTTTAGTGTCCATAAAATTACCTCTGTGGCGCCACACACCCTCTGAGACATTTTAATAGAGCTCTGGCATTACGCAGGTGAGACTTACAAAATCAGTCTCGCCCAGTTACGAGCACTGGCAGCCAGCAAATAAGTATACCGTGATTTCGTATGCGGAGGCTATCCTTTAAGTTAAGTTAAGGACTAATCTCTTCCTTATTCCCCTGAAAAGTGTTGTAGCTTACTAGGCCTTCACAATGTTTGAAAAAAGGGCACTTATTCGACCTAAATATATGTATTTGAAGAGGAATGGATGGGTTAGGGCTTTCGATTGCTCCGGAGGCGAGTTCAAGTGCACGAGAGCAGGACAAGCACAAAATCGACTGTCAGACCTATGCAGAAACATGTGCAAAGCACTACACATGCCTTCGTCGCCAAGTAAAGGCCTTATTTTCCTTAGTAAATGTAAAGGCAGAGCCGAATATGGAGCACTACTTGTAGCGCCACGACTCTACAACAGGCAGAGACGCATCACGTTAGGAGAAAAACATACTCTAAACATGACCCGAGGAGCTAGCTTACGACGTCAAGGGTCAGACCAGCCCCAAGGCAACCGCCAGACCTCGAGTTATTACATCAACAAAGTATTGTACAAAACTTGTGGCACTTAAAACACAGCATTTGTAAGTAAATGCTGCACAAGAGACTTAAAAACCAGCTAATTAAATCAATCGGCTGTTTATTTTGTAAACAAATGAAATGGATATGCAAAGATTAAAGTGGTTAAGCGCATTTTGAATTTTTAAAGCAGGAGGTCAACATCCTGAACATTTCCTTATTAGTAATAAAATCTCTTCAGTCCTTAATCACAATGATAGCACGCTACGATTGACCAAGTATGTGCAATGTACAAATAAATCGAGAGCGAAAAAATTGGCATGTGCCTTTGTTTAAATCGTTGGGGATTGGCTGATTACCTTTTTGATGCACTTTTGTGTGTAGGTGAGGTGTCTCAGATCACTTCAATGCATTTTGACGCTGTACTGCATTGTTTCCATGATTCTCAACGTGTTTATTAATATAGGCACACGTTTTTGTGTGCTGGCAGCACGTGAAAGATTGCTATTTTTGCTATCAATTTGCTAAAATCATTATCTGGCTCATTTTGTTCTATCCAATTCTCGCTGAAATTTCTTTTCCATCTGCAGGTTACATGACTTTGAAGCCAGATCTGAAATACGCTGATTTGCAGGCTTGTTGTGTCTGTCTGGGTTTTCGGGACGAGGACACGTACAAAGTGGACGCTGATGCAGCCGCATCCATTCGATCAATTTTGCGTTATCTTCGCAACGAAAGCGTCAGCTGTGATATACGGAGGGAACTTGGCACTTTAAAGATCCTAACTAGTGATTTGATTCCCCTGCTTAAGGTCAGCAGAGCTGATCCCATTCTGTTTGATCTCGTTATCCGACTAATGGTAGGTCTCACTCAGCCTGCTGTTGTCTGTTTTCGCAACGAGATTCCCACTGATCGCGACCTCTATGCAGCCTTTCTTAAGGTCGATACCATTCTGAAGGAATATAAATATGTACGTCTCGGTACAAATTTATTTCCTCGTTAAGGCCTTCGCTGACGAAAAGCTTTTTCGAGTTCTTGCTGAATGTGTAGAGGATTTGCTCAACAAGGTAATAACTGATTTATCTTTAGTTTTAAGTCCTGGGAAGACAGGAGTGATGATGACAGACTGTTAATTGATCGCATTCTTATACTGATTCGCAATGTTCTTCATATCTATCCCGAC